GGGGGGCGGGTGGGGTGGGCTCTGGGCTCCGAGCACCCACCTGGCAGGCGCCTAGCCTGGTGTTTGCCGGAGGCCTGTCGGGCACCTGAGGCCTGTCGGGCATCTCTGGGACAGACCAGGCCTGGGTGACAGGTTCACAGGCTCTGCCCAGGCTCAGCTCTGAGCCCCCTCGGCACCTTGCTGCCCTTTAAACACCTTTCTATCCATTGAGCCCTGTGTCCCCACATGGGCCCCTTAACCCCACATAGTTGATCGGGGTGTGCCACCTCAGAGTGGGAGGTGGTGACCTCAGAGGTCACATGTCAGCCCTGCCCCAAACTGGTCTGTTAGCCTCTAGATGCGTGTCAGCTGCCACAGGCTGCAGGCTGCCTAGGGGTGGGGCCTGGGACCATCCTCCCCCGCCCTCCCCTGGGGGTGCAGGAGAAGAGGTGAGCAGGAGGAGTCCGCAGCTTGGCTCTCAGGTTCAAGCTTCTTGCTGACCAGTTAGGGGTTTATGTCCTGGTGACCAGCATGTCCCGGTCTCTCTGGGTGTCTTGGTGGACAGTGGACACAGCTGTCAGGCACATCCCTCCTGGTGGGTCTGCACCCAGAGCCCCAGGGAGGGCAGAGGTCTCCTCTAGGTTCCCAGTTAGACCACCTGTGTCAGTGGAGGCCTCTTGTTGGGTGGGGTCATGCCTCCGGCTGCATTCCTGGGACCCCTGCCTGCCCTGAGTCTTTCGCACCCTTACCCCCCAGCTTTCCCTGACTCTGCCCTCACCCTCTTTCTCAGACCGAATCCTAACAACAGAGGACCCTGAGTAAGTCACTCTTCTCACGTTTTAGGCTACGTGTCTCATGGGATCAGCTATGGCCTTAACTCCGTCCACCCCAGATATGGAGTTCCTTGAGGTCCTGACCGAGGGGCTGAACAGGGTGCTCCTGGTCCGGGGCAGTGGCCGGGAGGTGATCACCATCTACTCCTAACACTCCGGAAGCTCGCTGGGCAGGCACAGGGGTTGTGTCCAGCACAGACCACAGCCTGACCTGCCAGTGTGGCTTCCTACAGAAGTTTCTAGAATACCATCGGGCTCTCCTGTGCCAGCTGGGAGCCAGCGCATGACTGGAAAGGTTTCCTCGAGGCCGAGGGGAGATGAGATGCCCGTGGTGCTCCGGGTGCTCCTGCGGGAGGCTCCGAGTGCCTGGGGCCGGGCCGCCCCTCTGGTGAGGGCCAGGCACTGGGCCTCTGGATTCTAGAATTCATTCTCCTGGCCATCCCGCCCAGGCTAGGGCCGCCTCACATTTCAGTTCTCCCCCATCCAGGACGTTCATAAGAAGCCACACCTGGTCTGAAGTTGACCCTGGGGCCATTAGGGTCCGTGTATGAAGGCGAAAGGTCGGCCTGTGGCTAAGGGCTCAGTACAGGTTCTCCAGCAGCCCCCGATCTGTCTGTTCTGTTGGATGTCCTTGTCTGTTTTCATTCGTAAGGCAGAGAGGCCAGCCGCCCACGCCCACATCCCTGGCTCTGCTGGTGGCATTGGTCAGGTGCCCGTCTCGTTGGGGACCGCTGGTAAGGGGATGTGGTTGTGTGGGAACATGAGGGGGGCTGTCCAGCTGGGCTTGTGCTCCAGGAACCTCTGAGGGAAAGCACCCCGATGAGCCCTCTGAGCCCAGGTGTGCACTGCTGGGAACTTCAGCCTCTCAGAAGCACTGGCGGCCCGGCCCTGTGGGCACTTTTCTGACACGGAAACTGTAAAAGCCGGGTGTTCACACCTTCAGAACCGTGAGCACACCACACAGTTTGGCGTCTGACACACTTGCTCCTGTGGCCTCCATGCCCCCCCTCGGGCTCCGGGGAGGGGTACCTGCCGAGGCTGTGGGGGTCCTGGGGCGGGAAGGGCACATGCACTGAGTTGTCCGGCTGCAGCCTGGTCTCCACCGCACGGAGGGGTGGCGACAGCTGTGTTTAGGGCACTGACGCGGTACCTTTTAGTGATCCGTGGACTTCGCACTTTACCTTGTGGTCTTTCTGCTTGTGGTCGTGAACACGTGCACTGTAGATGCTGCAGTAATTTGTGCCTCACTCCCCATGTGGCTTATTTATTTCTTTAAACACCTGGGCATTTCAATGCTGCATGGTCCCAAGAGGTTGTCTCTATGAAAGGCCTGAAGGACCACGTCCTTGGCTCTCTCAGGCTTCCATGGGGTCCCAAGAGAATGGACCTGGGCCTGGATTTCACGTCGGGGCAGAGACTAAGCATGCATTTCTAGATGGTTCTGTGGAGCCATCGGGCAGCCTAGAGGGCCAGCATTGCCATCCGAGTGGCCACTGGCCAGAATGTGTGCCAAGTAGCTGCAGCCAGCGGGGGGTAGGGGTGGGGTTCAGACTAGGACCGTCCTGGTTCAGCATTGAGTTAAGCGAAACCATCTCACTCACAGATTCCTGGTGAGGGGTCATGTGCCCGCCCCACCCGCCTGTCCTCGGTCTGTGAGCACCACCCAGCCTCCCACACTGAGCTTTGTGTAACTGTAACGGCAGCCAGTTCAACTGGATTTTGTTCTTTTTACAGGCTCCTTGTCTTTGTATGGTTTTTGTTAGTAGAAGAATAAAATCTATGTTGAAGAATCTCATGTGTCTTATTTGGCATAAAAATTAGATAATTGCAGACGATGCCCCCAAGCCTCCCTTTCCTTGGAGGAGTTTGCTGACATTTCTGTCAGGACAGAATCAGCAAGTAAAACCTGTGACCCGAGGGACCCCTTATTCTAACGCAGGATCACAGCCAGACCACGTCATACCCACCAGGAGGGCGGGGAGCCAAAGGGACAGGAAAACCGCCAGGTGGTGTGAGGTGTGGCTGCTGGAGAAACTGCTGAAGCTCCTAAAGTTGTTAACAGTCACTGTGACCCGCAATCCCGCTCCTGAGTGTATAGCCCAGAGGGATGTGTGTCCACAGACACTTGTGCGCACTGGTCACACCAGCCAAAACGTGGGAACAGCCCGCATACCCATCCGTGGACAAGTGACTAAACGGAACGTAAACGTATTCACTGGCATCTAAATCAGTTGTTAAAGGAAAGGGTGCTCTGACGTGTGTTACCCCACGGGTGAGCTGCGTGGCAGAAGCCAGCCTCATGTCACGGATGATCCCACTTACGTGAACTGCAGGATCGTGGGATCCAGCAGAATGTGGGTTGGTGGTGAGGTAATGGGCTGGGGGAGGGGAAGGTGGCAGTGGGCATGGGGTTCTTTTGGGGGTGAAGGTGTTCTGAAGTCTCATGGTGATGTGTGCACCGTCTGAATGTGAACACGATGCCATGTAGTGAGCAGGCGTGTGAAGCTGTTAACCGTGTCTCCTGGGGCCATGGGAAGGGTTGACACAGACTGCTGAGGAGGGACCTAGAGTGCCCAGCTGTCCTTTGGTCTCTGCTAGGGACCGTCACATCCATGACCTGGAGCACAGGGGCCTGGCCTCTGGGGCAGGAGTGAGGGTGTCATGGGGGAGTTGGAGGGCCAGGCCCCCGGACACTGTCAGACTCGTGGGAAGACATGGTAGGGCCCTAGGGTCCCGACTTGCCCACGCACTCAAGGGCACCCATGCAGCGGGGTCTGCGGGGAAGCAGGTGTGGGCATAACCAGTGCAGCACAGAGTCCTCCGGGCCTCAGACAGCATGGCACCTTCGCCACTGGACAGCCCTGGGAAGGGGGGCAGATGCACGAGACACTGGAGCCCAAATGTGTGAAAGGCAAACAAACTGCCAAGATGCGACAGAACCACTGTTGTGTGTCGGCCACAGTACCTGTGAGTGCCTGAGCCCCTGTGGCAGCACTGGGCCTCTCTGCAGCTCCACTGCACTCACCCGGTGGGCAGGCACCTCCTTGCTGGGTAGGCTGCCGGCACCTGGCCCAACCAGGTGCTGCCAGCTATGCCTGTCGCCCTCCGAGGGACCCCTTCCACCCTGGGGGCTGCTTTCCTCGAGGTAGCCCCGCCTGGGCCATGGACCCTGGTGCGGTTGGTCTCTGGGCCCCACTCAATGCCACCCGCCCCTCCCTCCCACACGCAGGCTCCTGGGGCCCGGCCAGCACCGCCTGTCCACTCTGGCCTCCGGCCTCCCTGGCCCGGTATAGCTGGGGCCTCTGATACAACTTCCCCCAAAGCCCTGTTTTGCCAGGATCTCGTCAAGCGCTCAGGAGACAAGAGGGTGGCTGTGGCTTGTCTGTTTCTTGGTTGTTTTTTTGAGGTTGTCCTGAGTGAGAGGCGGATGAAGGTGCAGGAGTCAGGGGACCCAGAGGTCTCAGACAGCGCTCACATCTGCCCCATAAGCATGACTGCGGTGGAGAAGGGGGCCAAACAGAGACAACCACCAACTGGATTCCAGTGCCCTGATCTTTGAAGCGCCCCTGGAAGGACCGTCTTTGTGTTGTTGGTCCAGAAATGAACAGTTAATATGTGGGAATGTCTGCGCGAGCTTTCATTCACATGCCAGGCGCAGTTATCTTTTCTTTTTTTAAATATATTTTTATTGATTGCAGAGAGGAAAGGAGAGAGAGAAATAGAACATCAATGATAAAGAATCATCGATCAGATGCCTTCTTCATGCCCCCCACTGGGGATTGAGTCCACAATCCGGGCATGTACCTTGACCAGAAATCGAACCGTGACCTCCTGGTTTGTAGGTTGGTTGATGCTACACAGGCTTGGCAGCCGGGCTGTGTTTTCATCTCTTCACTGTGGATGTCACGATCCTGAGGAGGCAAGGTGTGTGCCCCCTGCCCGCCAGAGGTCGCTACTGCCCGCAGGAGCTGGTGGGATGGATCGCGCAGGCGCAGTCATTCCCATCTGGACAATGATAGGCTTCTCTGCAGCTTGGACTCACGGGCAGCAACACACTCGGCTTCCGGTGTGTTTGCTGGCATTCACTGCACGCACGAACGGTTCTTAAAACCATGGTCTGGGGTCAGAGGCTGGAGTTCAGGCCCACCCAACGTCCCTGCCATCTGGTGATCCAAGCACCTGCCCGACGGCTGTGGGGGGCCACAGGGCCTGCTGGGATTAACTAAATACGGTCCCTGAATGTGGGACCATGTGCAGGGGCTCGGCACCCTGAGAAACAGACCCAGGTTGGGATGACGGGCGCGTCTGTAAAAACCCTGCTGCCAGTGGTGTGGGTGTCACTGTGCAGATTCAAGCGTGTTAGAGGAGTGTAGGCGTCTTGCCAGGAGAGGGCGCTCCGCCCTGGGCAGCCGGCACCAGCCAGGGTCTGAGGATCTGAAACACCTGGAACTGAGATTCCAGCGCTCTGGCCTCTAAAGATCCTAAGACCCCGCAGTTCTCCCTACACACGTGGCCTCGACTCAGGGACAGACATTAGTGACTCGGAAATCCCGAGGGGCTTTACGGCGGCCGTGAACACGAACAGGAACATGATGGCAGAAGGGAGGAGACGGTGGCAAATGGCACGTGGGCTCCTCTAGAGCCTCGGCACAGAGCCGGGCGTCTCCATGGGCAGCGCGGTCCTCCCAGCCCCAGTGGCCTGAAGTGTCCTGTTACCATAAACCCAACCTGGGGCTTAGGTTTGGGGCTTTTTGTTTTAGAGCACTAACATGGGGGGAAACATTACCCACACACCTGGAGTTTTGCATTCATTTCCCTTCTGCAAACGTCTGTGTAAACAGACAGACACACTCTCCGTGCAGCATGAGTCCCCACAGGCTGGTGTAGGTGGACTGACTGTATCTATTTAAGAAGCTCACTTTGAAACAGGGAATGACATGTTACAAAATGCACATATTTTTATTATGCCTGAGGGGGGAGGAAACTCAATTACAAGTCAATCACCAATTAGCTTGATTCTTAGACACAGTTCCACGAAGGAGAATGCAAAATCACCTACACAGACTCTCAAAGTACCAGAAAGTCACTTGCTCGTCTCAGATGGAAGAAGGGGCAGCAGTGTCCTGCCACAGGGGGACGCTGCCAGCCAAGGCTCCACGACCCTCGGACACCATCACTGCCCCTTTCCCTCACCCACCCCCCCAGGACTGCCACATACTCCCACAGGTGGGCATCGTGGAAGCTTGATGAGCACTATGATGGTTTCCGTGAGCCCAGAGAACAAGCGTCCCGCCTCCTCCCTGTGCGGGTGTTTTAGGTGGAACCTTCCCCCTGCCCCGGCCCTGCTGTCCACTGAAAGATGCTGGTGCCAGCCCCACCCGGACCTCCTCTTTGCTCTCATGGCCTCACCTCCAGAATTTCGTGACCGCTGTGAAGAGCGCCTTGCACCCGCCAGTCTTCTGTATGATCTGTGCTCCGTGTGGTGAGGCAGAACTCCCCACCGCACAAGCAGCACACGGAGGAACCACTGCTCCCCCAAACCACCTCCTTTGGGCTTCAGAACGAATAATTACATGAGGGCTGCAGCACTACGTTCACTCCCGGCTACAGGATAGCAAGGCCCCGCCACCCTGCACGTCTCGGTCCCAGGCCCCCAGCGCATGAGGCACCATGAGACAAACACGGACATCAACTGAGCAGAGTCCCTTCTGCACCACGAGGGCTCATTGTGGGATCACAAATGAAAGATACGATGTGCTTTTCTATGCGTACATATGGTTTTATGGGTTACACAGAATCAATTCATAACTGGGGAACGTCAGTGGCATCAAACGTGCTCATCCCAACACGACATCCGTCAGGAGCACGGAGGAAAGGCGAGCGGAGGAAGCGCGAAGGGCCCGCTCCACGAGTGTCCACGGGGGCCACCGCAGCTGCCACGGGAGACCTGCAGCCGGGCTCCTGGCCAGGGGCGCCGGGC